CTTGGCCGCATCGCTTCGTTGCCACTCGAGAAAATGCCACCTCCTTCGTGCGTGGTTGTGCAGCCCTGAAGGCTCACAACGCCTTTCGACTGTTCGACCGATTTCAATGTAGTTTTAGCCTCCACTCCACTCCCATGCGCCATCGAGGAGTCCACGGCTAAAAGGGAGAATGGAGGCGCCATCTATGCACTCAGGGACATGATCGTCTCCGGTGGAAATGTGACCATCAAGACTTGAAGAGCACATCGCCACCGGAGACGATCATGTGGCTGTGTGCGTAGATGGCGCCTCCATTCTTTCAAGCGTTGCAGTCGGTGATGCGTGCCGACAAAGATGCCGCCTTCGTAAGGTGCTAGGCAGCAACTGGCCGTCCGGTGGAGGAAGCCTCCGAGGCCTCCGTCCCCCCCTGATTCTTGCAGCCCTGAAGGCTGAGAGCTTCTGGGTGCACTGCGACGCACGAGCCGTTTACCGTGCCGCCGGGCTTAGGGCCTACATTGATGTCCGTTCGGGTCCCAGGCATCTCCTGCACTCCAAAGCACCGCTTGCTGCCCAATGAGCAGCAAGCGGTGCTTTGCTTTGCTTCTCCTGCTGCTCAGACTGACCCCGTGACGGAGAGATCGTAGGGTCACAAGGGCATTCTGGTCCAGATCCTCACGTCAAGTCAGGAAGCTGTCGGTTTCGTGCAACAGTTGGTCGGCAGCACTGCGCTCAGCTGACAGGAGGTGAGAGAAGACGGTGGCGCACGAGAGCCAGCACACGGCCATGACCCTAAACCCTAAACACGGGCGCTGGCCATGTTCAGAATCATCGTGACAAGCGTAGTTCGACACATGGGGGGTCTGGTGGTCGAAACCTTGGGCCTTGGCGGCAGCAGGGCTTCGGGAGTGTCGGACCGAGGCTAGAGGCTGGTTTTGGGGCCAGAATGATGAGAATGAGGTTTTTGGGATATAATATACTGTCATCACAATAGAAAACCTAAGGACGGTATTGGGAATTCATGTAGGCGCCTTAATAACTAGAATAAGGTTTTGGGGCATATCATACTCTAGTGAAAATAAGGAACCCCCAAAATAGTATAGGTAATTGTTAAAGCGCCTATATTAGCTCGGCTTGAAAATGCTGGATGCCTGCTTCAGGGATCCAACCTTCCAGGCAAGAGCTCCTTGCACTTCCGGCATCTTCCATAGTGTAGAGGTTTAGGGTGAAGGGTTTAGGGTTTAGGGTAGGGGCCTGAATAATTAGGATACGGCTTGGGTGGGAGCGTATAGTATAGTAGTTCATTATTGGTAATTGCTCATGCTTCTATATTGCAACCCTACATAGGCCTGTCAACAGGCCCCGCCCCAACAGCCATAAAAACCCAAAACTGCCTTGAGCTCAGCAGAAACTCTTCCCGCAAGACTCGGGTTTGGAGAGGACTTCATTGTAAAGGCTGCAAGGTCATGCTACTACTAACAACCCTAGGTTAACCTCCACAGCCAAAGACCTCAACAAGACAAGCCTGCTAGCGAAAGCGTTCAGCACCGAGCGCACGTGGAAGCGCGTGCCGCAAAGGGCCTGACTGTGCTCCGGCTTGAAGCGACAGTGAGAAGTGGACTTAGTTTAGAATCACAGCATAAACAAAAATGTAAGGTTCGTATCAACAACAATGACAGTGACGATTCGTAATAGTGAGTGTTGCCATTTAAGTGTTGCTGCGCTGCCATACCAACTGTTCTCAGTAGTTCTCTGAATACAATTGGTTTCCGTAGCAGGATCAACATTGTTCGATGTGTCCTAACCCCAAAACCCCAACCCCGAAAACCTAGACACCAAATCCTCATCATTTGCTGCCCGGTTTGGCCTGGGACGCAAGTTGTTGGATGTCGTCTCGCGGAGACACACGGAGCTTCCTCAGCGGCAGGACGGAGGTTCGGACGTCTTGCGTTGACATGGTATTTGGGCTTCAGGGTTCAGGCTGTTGGGATTGAGCCCTAAACCCTAAACCCTATGCTCAAACCCTAAACCCCTCAAAATGGCTCAAACACCAAAGCAACCCGAACTTAAATTCTGAATCACGAAGCCCCCCAACTGCAGAAGTTAGCAGCTCTTACCAACACCCACAAGCCAAAAGCCCCCAAAGCCCTAAAGCCCCGAGCCAAAAGCCCCCATTTCCTCAAACCCCTAAACCCTCTCAACCCAAAGCCCCAAAGGCCCTAAACCTTAAACCCCTAAAACCCACAACCCAAAACCCCTAAAATACCTAAAACATCAGAAAACCCTGAACCCTAAAACCCCTAAAACCCCTAAAACCCTGAACCTTAAACCCCTAAAACCCACAACCCTGAACCCTAAAACCCCTAAAACCCCCTAAAATACCCGGAACCCAAAAGCCCCTAAAACCTCAGAAAACCCCATAACCCAAACAAGGCTCAGGAGGATGTCGTAGTCCACACCCCCGCGGGTGGCGGAGTCCAGCTGCATCAGGAACCTTCAAGGCTTAGGGCTCTTTTTTCAGAGTTTAGGGTGTAGGGATTAGGGATTTAGGGATTTAGGGTTTAGGGTTTCGGGTTTAAGGTTTGGGGTTTAGGGTTTAGGGCTCTGGAGGGTTTAGGGTTTAGGGCTCTAGACAGCCGTTTTAGGGTTTAAGGTTTAGGGTTTAGGGTTTAGGGTTTAGGGCTTAGGGCAGTAGGGTTTGGGGTTTGGGGTTTAGGGCTCTAGAGAGTTTGGGGTCCAAGGCTTCAGGTTTCAGGGTTTGGGGTTTGGGGTTTAGGGCTCAGGGCTCTAGAGGGTTTTTCAGGGTTGAGGGTTTAACATGTAAAAAAAAGGCCTTGGGGTTTAGGGTTTAGGGTTTAGCGTTTAGGGATTAGGGTTTAGGCTTTAGGTCGAATGAAGGACCCTCAAAAATTAGAATTGGGTTTGGGGGTATATTGTACTATAACTATCATAAGGACCCCCCAAAACCCTATTCTAATTTGTAAGGCCCTA